TATAGCCTAAAGAAGAGACACGCTTATTCATGGATAGTTTAATGTGCATTTTTGTTTGTAATTATGATTACTATTGTAATAATGTGTTGATTATATACAAGATATATAATTAAATGTTATGGCGAGTAGCACACCTACATTAGATCTTTGTTCTTTGTAAAGGCCACAAAATATATATTTATAATTACTTCATTTTCGGACGAACGTAATGAGGGAGAATATAACTGCAAATATCAAATTTAATTAACTTGCAAAGTTTTTGGAAAAGATATGATGAAAGTGAGTATAACATAAAGAAACTCTGACTTTGCTACATTACAATAAACAAATTTGTTTGCATTAATTGTCCACTTTGAAAAACAACAATTGCAGCCTGCACAACTTTCTTAAACATCAACTCGACCAATCCTATCAGTTTCTATAAAATCAAAAATTCCTCAGAGGATTTTTAGCGCGTTTATTCAACAAGAGAGTCGCCCTTGAGCAGCTGAGTACAACTATGAAATATATCTCACCAAAAAAGCAACAACAACAAAAAAACATATCTAACCAGAACTTAAACTTATCCGTTCCGTTATTGGTTAAATCCATTCACATTCGTATAAGATAACATGCTATTGTAATGTAACAGCATACAGATTGCAGAATGCATTTGAACTTAGAGATACCGACTTCTGAAACTTGATTTCCAGAAGGACATTTTGACAAAAATAATCCAGTTTTATATGTAGGCCAATATTTGTAGTCCCAAAAATATAGGTTCAATTATCTCCATTATCTAGCAATTCTGCACTCACCAATACAGGTCTCATTTGGCAAACGAAAGATTCCTCCAGGTGTATAGTAAAAATGACCACCGGTTGCACATAAACGATCAAACATGACTGTTATTTTAATTCTGAAAAACATGTCATTTTTAATTCATGTTCCCATGTTACACAATACATGAAGTTTATTTTAATCTATAGCATTGTGAATACTACACAAAACCCTCCTCAACTAAATTTGTAAAAGTTATTCTTATGTTATACTGTTACACCACTGTTTGGGAATGTTTGGCGTCAGCTATAACATGTTTTACCAGGCCATATAATGTATGGAGCCTTTAATTTGGTAGTTGTTGTTTGTTGATGAATATCATATTTGTTTTTCATTTATTGTTTTGTACAGAAATCAGGCTGTTAGTTTTCTCGTTTGAATTTGTTTCACATTTGTCATTTCGGGGTCCTTTATATATTACTATGCGGTATGTATTTTGTTCCTTGTTGAAGGCCGTACGGTTGCCGTATCGTTGTGTGTTGGAAAAAAGACAATAAAAAGTTAAATCATCAAGAATGATCAAATATCTGTCTAAATTTTCCAGTTTGACTAAATCGTAAAAAACTTGATCCTGAACTGAAGATTTTTTATCAGCACTATATGAAAGATAGTCTAAAGAGAGATAACTCTAGTCTTACTTGTCCACTGCAAAAACATTATAATAAAAAGAAAAAGATTAACAAAAATCTTGAAAAAGGCCATTGTGATTTGGTGTTTGAAGGCGTATGCGATGATTTAAAAAATCAAAAATGTATTTACGATAACGATTTGGTTTTTGGGTCGTCAAAATTAAATTTTGATAGTTGACGTTTTCAGGTATACTAATAAGAAATCCAGAAAAAGATGTAAAGATTTCGACTGATCAGACTTTGCTGTTGAAACAAACAAGAATTTATTGATACAATGGTGAGCCTTTTTAATATTTTGTACATTTTTTAAAATTTATAGCATGCCCTGCTTCGTTGAAACCCGATTTTTTGTTTATTCAATTTTTAAGTAGACCATTCAAATCAGTTAACGCTATTAAGAATTATTCAAGTGGTGTTAGGACAATGCATTTATTCATTTCAATGAATTTTCTGTTAAATTATTGTTATTATTCATGATGATCTGATACATTGTACTATATAGTGTTTATTCTCAATTGCATTTTTCTTAATCGCGCGCAAATCGAATTTAGTACCTTATTCTAGAAATTCATTTGATAAAAGTTAACGAGAAATAAGATTATTATTGAAGATGGTGTAGTGATAGTTAGGTTTAACTGGTCGAAAACTATACAGATGGGTAACCGTATTTTAAAGATATTTTAAGTAGAATATACTACATCGGTACTTTATTCGATTAGAGCGTATACGAATATGTGTAGATTATTGCCAGCAGATGAAGACAGCCCAGCCTTTTAATGTTCTAGTAGACACACTTTAGTTCCAGTCACATATACAGATTTTCAAAAGTATCTTAAGTATTTTATTTTAAGATTAGGTGGGAATCCACGGTTGTTTTCTAAATATATAAACATTCTTTGGATCTTCAGTCAGAGATTTACAAGAAAGTAGCTGCATTTGTTTCTTGAATCTCTTCAGGCTTACACAAAAGAACCCAAATATGTGGGTCTGTTTTTTCTTTCTGAATTTTGTTCTTGTTTGACTGGTTATTTTTATAGAATATTCAGCAGAAAATAAAAGTATTATGTATCATCTTGTTTTTCATACGGAACCAGATATAACTGCCTAATATATAGTTGTTTACTTCTTCGTCATTTGGTCTCTGGTGAAGATGTTTATTATGGGTAGCCATACCACATCTTCTTATTTTTATATCAACTATATTTAACAACTACTTTCATTTTCAGCGTGATGGATATACTTAGTACATTGCATCTTTAATGAAAATAAATCAGTTTTTAATCAATAGATATAAATAGATGTGGTATGAGTGCCAATGAGACAACTCTCCATCAAGTTCAGATTGATGTCCTTTGCTTGCTATGTCATTACCAACTAACAACAAAATTCTTTGCTGAAATGCGATTGATTCTTTTTCATCTCCATGACTACAATAATAAAACAACTTGTAAATTAATGCGAAACGTGTCGGTGAAACTTTATAATACTGTTCATTTTCTTGTCCAGATAATAATATACGTTTGAACAGTAGTCAAATGATATAACATAGGAAATAAAAACGGGGAATGTGTCATACAGAAACAACCCGATCAAAGAGCAGAAAACAGCCCAAGGCCACCAATGGGCCTTCAACACAGCGAGAAAATCCCGCACCTGGAGGCGGGCACCAGCAGGCCCATAAACAATAATGTATACTAGTCCAGCGAAATGGACGTCACACTCTACCCCGGAGCATGCAAATGAACCAAATTAAAAAAAAAAAAAAAAAAAAAAAAAAACATGACGTATATATTTTATACCAACAGATCATTGCCTTTCTTCATCTTTTATGGGATGTTCTCTTATCAGTCGATTGCGATTAAGGTGAAAGATATGCGACCTCAGAACCCAATTCAATCATGACGTCTCCATGTGCCTGCCCTTAGCCAGTAACCTCGTTATTTAAAGTCAATTAATTTGGTTTTTTTTTTTAGATAAATTTGAAAAACGGTTCATTGATGGTAGATACAGTTTGTGTTAGATTTATTGATAATTTTAACTACAATACTGACGAATTAGAGCTTGACATAATTGTATAATATTAGCTGAAGTTTATATGATTCTTATCATATATGTCGCTGGATTGCTGTCTCATTGACCAATACCAAACATCTCCGGATCGCTAGAATTTATCAGAACATTATTAGGGGGACAAATGAGTCGACATAAATTCATTTCACACGAAAGACTACTTAGACAACATTAATATCGATATTTTGCATTGACCCGAGCATATTTTTATTGCTGTTTTTTGTTTTAATTTATCCCAAAACCAAGGTGTTGGCATTTTTGCTAATGACAAAAGACGCGCAACCATTTAAAAGCTTCTCATAAACATAAATAATGGTTTCTTGTGAAATAAAATGGCAAGTTAAAATGACGGATGTCACATGTGGAACATAATCTGCTTACCCTTCCAGAGAACATGAAATCACCCCGGCGTTAAGTAGGGTTCATGTTGTTTATTTATATTTTTCTTTTTTATGTTGTGTTTTTCATGTTTCTTTTGGGGGATTTTTTTTTTTTTGCCATGGTATTGTCAGTTTGATATCGACTGATGCGTTTGTATATCTGTTCCGGACCATATGAGTATTTGGACCGCACGCGTATGGTCATGACCATATAGGTATACTCATATGGTCAGACAATATGAGTATATACTCGTTTGGTTATTAGTGGACCGGACTATATGAGTATTTATACCATATAGGTATTTTTCTAATCAAACTTCCTTAACAGACACAGCTCGTTCTCTGAACCAAAATCGGCGCAAGCTATTAACTGAAATCCTTCATCTTTGTTACATATTGTCTGAATATTGGTATATTTGTTGTCTTGCTTTCGCTATCTAGAGTAAATTTTTAGCACCTTTATCCTGTCGACAGATTCGTCCGTACGGGTGTTTGGTGCAAAGACATTATTTTTTCCCGGCGTTTAGATTAGATTTTATTATTTTTATTTTCTAACTTCCACTCATTTTCACTTAAGGACTGATGTGTTCATACTCTTTTTCGTGCGATCTTACAATAACAGTGTTTTCTATATTAGAATAGAGGGACAAAACGTATAAACAACTGTAATTGTAAATCGTATAAAGAGGAGCATGATCAAATTGAATAACTGAAAATAATTTGAAAGATTAAGAAATCTTGCTTTACAAACTGAAACACCAAACATAAAGAAAATAGAGGGTTCAATGCTCCAACTGCCATTGACCTCATGCTTAACAGTTCATTTAGACTGTTACAAATACAAAATTAATAGTCAAGACCTACAGAAATTTCAATAAATATGATTTATAATTTTAAATGTATCTAAAAGAGCACACATTTTGAAGAAAAAGAATAAAAATAAGAATTTTATTAGTTTAAAATCCAAACAATAGGATTGTTACTAAATAAACAAAAACAAAAAGACATATAATTAACAAAACGATAGACAGAAGACAATAGCATTGAAAAAAATATAGATTATTAATATTCATAATAATACTATTTTGACAACATGCCTCCTCTTTAAAATTATCATTTCAAATATCTTGATTATATATTACATTAAAATGTTAGTCACCAATCACACACAGTTCATATATTGACATTATAGTTGTTTCTCTCATTATACATTTCACTTATACTGTTAACAATGATAATTTATATATCACATTCTTCACAAGAAAATATAAAATCAAATTTGTTTTCCTTACTCATTGAATTAAAACAGGGGACAATATTACAAATTTCATTAAACATTTTGATCCTCGGTTTATTAAGTTCTGTACATGTTATGATAAAATGGAATTCATCTTCCACCTCTTTATGGCATAAAGGACATATTCTATTTTATAAGGCTGTTTTATTGTATCGACCGCGTTCAATAGCCAGCATACTATTACTTATTCTTATTTTGGCATATTTTTTTGTAACATTTTTATCTAAATTTAATAGAAAGTACTTTAAAAATTTCAAGTTCATACTTTACTTTGAATTTTCTGTAGGTTCTTAGTTTATTCAAGGATTTGTATAGAGATCTTTGGTTTATTTCCATTTATTGAATTATAATCATTTAAGAGACAATTTTTCCAAAATATTATGTGATTTTCATTGAGCTTCTTCGTGGGGGCTAAACGTAATTTTTTTTTAGAAAAGGTACATTGATTTACCAAAACATTAGTGAAATTCAATTTAGATAGTAGCATTTTAATTTTTGAAGCAAATCCATCATTTAACTGCTTGTAAACTTTATAAACATTATACAATAAAGACTCTTTTTCATTTGAATTTAAAATATGTAACCAAAATCCTACAGAAGACTTAAGGGCCTGTATACCAATAGGGTACACTCCCAATTCAGCTAATACAGCGATATTACTAGCTTCCTTTGAATTAACGTTAAGTTATATTTTCGCAAATTTGATCTGGAGTTTTACTGATTCCATTGATAAGTATTGAGATTGTAAAGTTTTGTTGTACTTCACAATATTTAGTGACCATATCTCACTACAATACAGTACTATTGGGCTGACACAAGAGTTAAAAAGTTTCATATGGGAAAAAACATCCATCTTATCTGAGTAAAGGATTTTTTTAATACAAAACAATGCCTTTGAAGCCTTTTTTACAGAGGAGATTTACAACATTAGTGAAAATTCCTCATGGCTTGAATAGTATACCTAAATATTTGTATTCTGTGCAACATTCAATTAATTCATTATTCAAATTTGTCTTTACCACTTTTATCAAATATAATTGCTTTTGTCTTGTCAAGATTGACAGTCAAGTTCCATTTTTTACAATAAGTGTTTAACTTGTTTAGACAATTTAGTAAACCATTAAGATTCAGATATTAATACTAAGTCATTAGCATATAAAAGACTAGACAATTTTACGTCATGTAATGTTACAGGATCACACGAATTACCAAACATGGAGGTTAAATCATTTATATAACAATAATGTGTTTATAGTACACATATGCCCCACTCGCACTATTATTTTCTATGTTCAGTGGACCAAAACTCTAATTTGGTAATAAAATTAGAAAGATCATAACATAGGAAACATGTGTACTAAGTTTTAAGTTGATTGGACTTCAACTTCATCAAAAACTACCTTGACCAAAAACTTTAACCTGAATCGGGACAGACGGACGAACGGACGGACAAACGAACGGACGCACAGACAGAAAAACATAATGCCCATAAATGGGCATAAAAAAAAATAAGGTAGGGCTTAGACTACGGCCTTGTTTTACTCCAACTGTGGAAGGAAACATCTCAGTAATGCCTTCAGGGACTTCTTTACATATTTTTTAAAATATTGAAAAATGGTCCCTTTATGTTATATTCAGCAAGTTTGTGTAGCAGGGTCTCTCTATTTATAGTGTCAAAAGCTTTTTTAAAATCAATAAAACATGCATACATTATTTTGGTTGATTTAAAAGCTTTTTTGAAGAGTAATAATATCACTCAATGTCTATAGTTCATACAGAACGTATATTCGTAATAAAAGAGTTTGGTAGTTTTACAAGGAATCAAATGTCTCACTGACTATGTTATTTGTTCCTTCTTCTACTGCTGTGACAACAATCTCGGTGCCTTGAAAACTTATCCGTACATTTATTGGTCTATTTTTTCCTTTCTGTGTGTCTGGGATTCTTAAAAGGAGGGAACCTAATCGTGTGACGCTGTCACCATATGTATATAGAGGATTGTAATCTGAAGAAACGTAGATGTCAATTGTTGCCTCTGTATCAGACCCACGTGTTGGTAAAAATGTACTTTCAAAAGACTTATTTCCTAATAATATAGTTTCCCCCTTTTTCACTATCGTTTGAAAACTGTCCGTGCACATTGCTCTATCGTTGTAATATCCTAGTAATCGTTCTGGATGTTTCATTGGATCAAATGGGATGTTGCACGCTATACCGTACGTTCTAGCACAAACTCTTTCGGGGATTATTTCAGGAGTATGACCATATATGACTGCCCCTTTCACCACAGATAAAACAGCTTCATGTGGTCGCAATACATTCAATGATGGGAAACTGGATTTGATTTTTTCATATAGCAATGCAGAATCCGAGAAACCACCAACCATGAGTATTGTCTTCAATCCGTCTAATTCAGATTTCCCAAGCAATTCTTTTACATGATCAGCAGTTGCATTAAGAGGCTTCTCGAAAAGATCTTTCATTTTCTGTATTGGAAAATCAAGCTTATCTCTTACTTTTTTTACACCTAACGCCAAATCAAATTCCACGCCTGTTTTAGTTTTGTATTCGTCAAACAAATCACGTGGGAACTGAATTCTCATTTTATCGTCATTATTTTCGCCAATATTTTTCTTTTTGCCCTCAAATCTTCTCATAAATTCAAGACAATCGTGCATAAAGGACTTTTCAAAACCACGCCAGACATCCTCTCCAAAAATTTCTTCAACTAGATTTTGAAACTGTTTATCAACTTCCGTTCCTCCCCATGGTCCTCCAGTTGGTGGAAATAATTCAACAAGTTTGTTTCCCTCTTGTATTTTATAAGCTGTAATGTCGACCGTACCTCCTACAAAAAGATATTACCACACTCTCCTTAAATTGATACTTAAAATGTAAAGATTAACATTAAATATTGTATTATTTGTTGTACGTTTTAAAAATATTTTACATGACATTAGCATTTTGCTTTTTCGGGAATAACACAAGTAAATTTATACTGTCAAGAGCACTTCTCAACTTAAAGTATTCCTAAAACACTTTAAACAAATCTAGGGTACAATGACACAAACAAATTGTTATTAAGGTAAACATATTTCATTAATAAAGGTGTCAGATATATTTATAAAACAAAACACAAGAAATCAGGAAAAACAACAAATGGTCAGTGTCAGGTGACGCTTTCCCTGTCGACGCACGCGATCTCGCACCGTTTGGAGTTCCCTCCGGATTTGATTTGACCTTGATTCTTATGTTCTTAATACTCTTATGAGATTTTAACATCGGTAAACTACTGTTGCCTCTAAATAATTTCCCCGTAGTTTTTCTCGGTTTATATAACAATAATTTAATTTTGGATGTAACACGTCTTCTGATTGGCTGAAAGTGTTTTGTCTATCAGATCATAGACATAATTTTGTCATGTGACCGTGACGTCATCAACGTTTTTATCATGATTTACTCTTTTTTAGAGTTATTCAGTGTACACCACATTTTGGATGTTATTTCTTCATAGACAGAACAAATATTACAGTCATTATTATGCTCCACAGATTATTGATATTACACTGTAGTAGTTTTAACATCTTCTGATATGAATGATCAAGTTATTTATCAAGAATATCTGCCGCTTGATATTTCTGGACTATCTTATGATTTTAAAAACAACATTATACCTCCACAATCTAAAACTAAGAATGATTCTCCTGTATCAAATGATGACATGACTGTATCTTCTCCATCTTGTTTCTTCTGTACCATTATATCCCTACAATAAATAGCTGCTGCTTCAGGTTCATAGGCTAAGGATAAATGACTATCATCAATTCCAGCCTGTAAAAGAGTGATGTATACCACACAATGTACAAGTCACGAAAGTATCTCTGTAATGTGATTCTAAAATAGTTTTGTTATACACACATAAACTTTAACGATACTACAATTTGTCGATACTTTTATTGTGGCATTGGATACGGTCATGTTTTTTTCTGACTGTAAATGACGTCTTTAAACTAAATGCATTGGATGTTGGATGTGCACTGATTGCTATTTTAGTCTTAGATACATGATTTCTTTATTAGTTGTTTTTGGCATTGAAATAGCTGTCAGTAACAGGTGGGTCTCATTGGGGTCTAAGCGTGACCCGGGATTGCTGAGTTTTTGTAAGCGTGACACGTGAAAGTCAAATAATTGTGCCGTGAAAACGGGAAATGAAGTCTAGCGGGACATGGGAAATTACAAAAAAATGAGAATTGCTTACGTACATAGTGTAAGCGGGATACGGGAATCTGACAAAACAGTAAGCGGTATCCGGGATCAGAACCCCCCCCCCCCCCCCCCCCCAATGAGACCCCCTAACAGCGAGTACTCTCAGATCTGTACTTAGTGATCTTATTGTTGTTAGTGATAAGCGATGGATAAATACCCTGCCACGTCAGGTCTGTGTTTTCGTTTGGTTGTTCTGCTTTGTATCGATCTGATGAGTTAAGCCTTTTTCAACTGATTTTATAGTGTGTTCTTATGTTGTGCTGTTTCATCATTGACCCAGGTTAGGGCAGGGTTGAGCACTCACAAACATGTCTAGCCACGCCACATTCTTTATGTGCCTGTCCCAAGTCAGAAGCCTGTATTTCAGCGGTTGTCGTTGGTTTATGTCTGTCATATTTGTTTTTCGTAAATTGTTTTGTTATAAATTTGGCCATTGGTGTTCTCAATTGCATTGTTTCATATTTTTTATACCCGACTATACGGTATGGATTTTCTCATTGATGAAGGTCGTGCGGTTGTCTATAATTGCTTACATCCACTTCATTTGAACTTTGGTGGATAGTTGTCTCATTGGCAATCATACCTCATCTCCTTATTTTTATACCAATACATGTTTGTTTGTACTCAAACAGACAAAGCATCATGGTGACTACGTAGGTCAGCAACATCGGTAGAGTCAACCAAAAGCCAGCTTATTTAGAAGAAATTTGTTTACCACTCAACCATAAGCTACACGCAGAAACATATTTTCCCTTGATTTTTATTATGGTTGTATAGAATTTAGATAAGCGGATGTTTTGTTTTTTTATATATATACATATTTTGGCAAAATTATGAGATGATTTGGTTATTTTCAGTCTACAGGTTTTTAAAACTTTGCATGTTTTAACCTGCATAAAGGTTACTGACCGGAAACCTTGAAAGAAGCAAATACATACACTTCAACCAATAATAAAAGTACATATTCCAGTCTTCAAAACAAAAATAAATGGTACCTGTTAAAATGATTTATCATTTATCTTATTGCATAGAAATTTACTTGACAAAGCTTGATCTTACAATGCATCTTTAACAACATGAATGACATTTTCCATATTTTGCACACAAAAAAACATAGGTTAATATCTTGTACGTTTCGGCATATACAATATGACAAGAAGGCTGGCAAAATAGTTCATATTTCATAGATAGGACCAAATGTATGAGATATTTACCTGATTGGCTGCCAGTCTCATAAACTGTTTCGCCTGATCCGACCAGATAGCTGGCACAGTAACAACCCAATGAATATCTTTCATCTCAATAAAATTAACCTTTTCTTCTAACGTTTTTAGGAAGTCCTTTTTCAGGAACTTCAGACATTCTGAAACTACCATCAGCGATGATAATTTGTTCCCGTTGACATCTTTAAGCTTTTGCTTTTTAGAAATTTTTCCTGTCGCCTGTAATGCATATTTTTTATAAATATAAATACAAGATAATTAGATTTTTTATAAGTTCATGTATGAAAACAAAAGATGTCTGGCCTGTATTACCGATTAAGACTGATTAATAAAGCAAAAGTTGAAAAGGAAGAAGTTGTTGTTTATAAAGCCCTAAAATGCAGATACAATCAATGTTAGCTCATTCATCCTTTACATAACCTTATTCTTAAAGGATAACAATTTAACACCGTTGTTAAATCTTCGAATATTGTGTTTATCGGTACTAACATTGATTTTGTTTTAGATAAATTATAATATAACTAAACTTTTATATTTCGATTATGGTCTTACATGGTCCGTGTAAATTTGGGTCCATTCGTTTTTTCGTTTTGAGAAAGCAAAAACGAAAAACAAAAAATGAAAGTGTTTTCTAAAAACAATAGTGATTTTTTTTATTATGACACAAAGCGAAAAACGACTTATGGGATCAATTTCTACTTTCAGTTCTTAAAAAGAGAACAATATTTGCATTTTTTGTTTCATAGTCATCAAATTGAACAATTTCAAAGTGGCTCGTTGTATTGATGTCGAAGGCAATATAAATATTGAATGCAATGACACCTTCAGTCTTTTGCAAAAGTACATTTTCAAAAACATTTCTCCTGCTTTTTACATCACACAATAAATCATACCGGTTAATGTAGACAAAATAGACCACCTGGCTAGTGAATTGAAAAATGGTGAATAATGAAACAAAGACTTTCAAACTTTCTTGTTAAGAAATAGAAAAAAAATAAAAACAATAATATCCCCCAAGGTTATGAATGCTTTTAAGAAATAGCTATACATGTATTAGTGAAACAATTTGACGGTTGTCTGTCATATTTGTACAGGTCTGTGTGTTTTACATTGCACCAGACTTCTGCATTTTTTTTATATTTCTATTGGCAAAAATACTTATATGAATATCATAAACTAAGCTTGATATAAAAAAGAAGATGTGGTATGATTACCAATGAGCCAACTCTTCACTAGAGACCAAATGACACAGAAATTAACAGCTATAGGTCACCGTACGGCCTTCAACAATGAGCAAAGCCCATACCGCATAATCAGCTATTAAAGGCCCCGAAATCACAAATGTTACACAATTCAAACAAGAAAACTAAGGCCTAATTAATGTACAAAAAAAAATGAACGAAAAACAAATATGTAATACAACAACAAACAACAACCACTGAATTACAGGCTCCTGACTTGGGACAGGCACATACATACAGAATGTGGCGGGGTTAAACATGTTAGCGGGATCACAACCCTCCCCTAACCTGGTACAGTGGTGTAACAGTACAACATAAGAACGAACTATAAAAATCAGTTGAAAAAGGCTTAACTCATCAGATGGATACAAATAGAAATAAATTTAACAAAATACAGAGTGAACGTGGCCGGGTACTTGTCCATCCATAAAAACAAAAAGACGCTAAGTACAGATCTGAGAGTACTCACAGTTACTGACAGCTAATTCAAAGCCAAAAACAACTAATAATAAAAAGCATTGCATCTAAGACTAATGTGTTCACAGTAACATTTAAAAAATGTCAAGTAAGGTATATATAGTTGTAATTTTCTTTTCTATAAATAAATCATTTGAAAAACCTTCAAATCTATATTAAGAAACCTAGGTTCTCTTGAATTGGAGTATATCCATGTAACTTAAAGTATACTTGTTGTTTATTTGTCTATAAGTCGGAACCTTGGCTTCAAGTAGGAATACATTCTCTGCAAAATATAGTTTTTTTAATGAACTTATCTTCTTTAAGGTAATTGTTTAATGCTACAATATTTAATTGGTCGCTTTGCATTTCTGTATTTTATACATAATATTTAGTTAAAACCTATGCTTTTGACTTGAAGATATTTACTTCATGTAGGCCATTTCGAATACAATATGAACTTGCGAGATGAATAAACTTAAAAATGAATTCGAAATTAGCAAGTATATCCAGTCAAAAACACGTCCTTACGTCATTATCTATCAGACCAGACATCTCTATGTTCATAGAGATTACCATAACGCAGTCAGTAAAATTTTGAAGACATGGTAAACAAGAGTCTTTGGTTTAAACACGCATGCTATGATTTTTATTATGTAGGTGCGCTATCGACACGACAAGCGACGCAGAGTTATTTACCCCAAAAGTGAAAACTAAGCCGTAGTAAAGATTTGTCAAATATTACTCTTCGTATAAATGTGTTTATGTCTATAAAACCATATTCTCTTAAACCTTACTAAGTTTCTGTGTTGATTTCCAGACTGGCTCGTTTCATCATTGAAAAGAGCCATTTTAAATCTCTTAAAATATTTCCATCCAGTAGCCTCATTGTCATCAACCAGTTCTGCATATTTACTTTCTGCTTCATATCCAAAGCTGTGAAACTTGTCGTCGGGAGTGAATAAAACTACTGTAGGTGTCTTATCTGTTGCTTGGCCTTCTCCTGTTTTCCAGCCACCTTTTGTTTTAATGTTAGTATGATTATCTTTAAATTCTTGACGTACTGAATAGGCCCATCCGGAATACGTGGTTCCAAAGTCGATGGCAACTACTATCAATGCGTTTTCTTTTGAATGTTTCCCTTTCTCCATATCATACGTTCTGCAAAAAAAAAAAAAATGAAACAAAATGAGCAGATGCATAAAAGAACGCTTTATATAGAAATCACAGATGTTGCAATATATATTTATATATCGTCGTGTGAATCTTGACGAGACAGCAAAACAACAATAGAAAAAATCAAGCAACAAAGGTCATTGAGGCAACGTTTCTCCTTCAACATTATACAGACATTTGCTTGTTTTTTTTAAATTGGTGTTGACAAATTTATCTTAATTTTTAAGTTCCCAGAGGTGGTATTTGATATATTAATTGAAAAAAATCGAACCTTTTATCATTAGGTTACATTAACCTTTTATGGAAATGGGGAATGTGTCAAAGAGAAAAACAATCCGACCAAAGAGCAGAAAACAGCCCAAGGCCAACTATCGATCTTCAACACAGCGAGAAAATCCCGCACCCGGAGCCGGGCTTCAGCTGGCCCATAAAAGAATACACTTACAGGTATACCGATACACACAAGCATGTATACCGACACAAACAATCATGTATATCGACACACACACAATCATATTTCTAAATAATGGAACTATTCTACTTTCACCTAGTTTTTACGATGTCTAATGGGTTTTTGCTTGAAATTCACTCTCTTTTGACAAAATAGCCTGTTAAAATCAAACATGATAACTTCCAAATTAAATCTTCTGAATATTGTGTATATAAAATTTAGAGATGTGGTATGACTGCCAAGGAGACAACTTTCCACCAAAGTTCAAAAGAAGTGGATTTAAGCAATTATTGGCAACCTTACGTCCTTCAACAATGAGAAAGACCAAACCGTATATCTGTTTAAACTATCAAAGTCCTTACCTTTCATTCAGTACGTGATCTTGTTGTTACATGTATTGTCATAGAGCGCATTCCAGTAAGTGATATATTTATAGACTTCATTGAAATAAAGATGTCGAACATACAAACAGATCTTTTGATTTGATATGGCGCCGATGTGAGTGTGTCATTCCGCGAAAAGTTGTGACGGCTTCCAATTATTACTTTAAACTTGTGTTTGGTTCGATTCTAATAACCTGATGATGTCACCTATATTTAGACATGTTAGAGATACCATTACATTTAAATGTCTTCATGGGTACATGGTATACATAATTATTGAACCATGTTATAGTTTAATTTTGTTAAGACTTTATATAGTTTAAAATATCAGTCAATCAAAGCAACAAAAGAAAACTTTGTGGATGTAAATACATGTAATTTCTTAGTAGAACTTGATGTGAAAAGATTTAAATATAAAAAAGATGCTGAAGTAATTTTAAAACATTGAGTTAAAAGCCGATCCTTCATGGCATTTTTTGAGTTTATCTTCTGTAATTATATCCAATACCAACTTCATAGTTTTCTTGAACTAAATAAAGGGTTACAAACTAAAACTGAGGGAAACACATTAAATATAAGAGGAGAACTACGACACAACAGAAACACAACATTAAAATGTAACACACACAGAAACGAACTATAGTATAACAATGGCCATTTTCCTGACTTGTCACAGGACATTTTAAGAAAAAAAATGGTGGGTTGAACCTGGTTTTGTGGCTAGCCAAACCTCCCGCTTTTATGGCAATGTTAAATATAACATTAAAATGACAACATTACATGACAGGACTACAATATAAATAAATGGGAGAACATATAGGACAGAGAAACATACGAATAATAGCTAACAAAAGGTACCAGGTTTAAAATTAAATACGGAAGACACACGTTTCGTCCACACAAGACTAACCAGTGACGCTCAGGTCAAAAAAGTTCGAAAGCCAAAACAAGTACAAAGTTGAAGAGCATTGAGGACCAAAAGTTCCAAAAAGTTGTGCCAAATACGGCAAAGGTTATATGTCTGAGATAAGAAAATCCTTAGTATTTAGAATAATTCATACTTTTGTAAACAGTAAATTTATAAACAAATGACTATGTAATAGATATACATGACAACACCGAAGTGGTGACTAACTACAGAATAAAAACGGATACACAAAACAACATAAAACAGCACATAAAAATTCACAGCCGAGTTAGCCAAAGAGATCAACGCAAAAAAAAGGTGACGTCACATTTGAATTTCTGAAATAGTACTAATAGAGTCCCTTATCTGGACAGTGTATAATTTGCAATTTTTTTTCATATATAGATATAGGAAGATGTGGTATGAGTGCCAATGAGACAACTCTCAATCCAAGTTACAATTTATAAAAGTAAACCATTATAGGTCAAGGTACGGCCTTCAACACCGAGCATTGGCTCACACCAAACAGCAAGCTATAAAGGGCCCCCAAAAATTACTAGTGTAAAACCATTCAAACGGAAAAACCAACGGTCTAATCTATATAAAAACGAGAAACGAGAAACACGTATGAACTACATAAACAGACGACAACTACTGAACATCAGATTCCTGACTTAGGAAAGGTGCAAACATTTGCAGCGGGATTAAACGTTTTAATGGAACCAAACCTTCTCCCTTTTCTGAAACAATAGTATAACATCACAACATAGAAAAACACACTATAAAATATCAATTGGAAGGCTTAACTCAATCAAAAAACGTAAATTAACACACAATGAATGAAAAAAAATGACCTGTGACACCTGAATGCAAATACACAGTGAATAAAAAATTACAAGGGATAAATAATTAAAGTCAAAAGTAAATAAACAGGTTTAAACAAAGTTAAAGTATGATATCATTGTGAAATTTCAAACAATTTGTAGAAAATCATCACTTTTGAAGAAACCTGCGTCATATTATACACAGGTAAATGAAAATAATTTTGTTGTTAAGCATACTTCTTCTTCTGTGTGTATAAAATACCTACCAAATTTATTTCTTTATATTTTATGCAAAAAAAAAAATAGTAAGAAGGGGGATGAAATTACATGTAAAAAAACATTTGGGGCATGACTTTTTAGGTAAAAGAAGTGATTTGGTCCAGTTTGAAAAGGTAAAAAAAATAGTATATGTCTGAAGCTGTCAAACTGAATTACAGACCCCATTAACATAAAATTGTCTATATCTTGAGTTAGATAGACTTTGATATAATTTTGATATAATTTGTCACAAAAGTAGTACACTGTAAAAATCTTTATAAGATAGAGCAGGTGCGATTTTTTTAATTTGCGGTTTTTCGTTTAAAAGAAATGCACTACGAAATAACTGTGTTCTCGGACCACATTGATCATTAAAGAGGTTTTCAGTCTTTTGATACTGAATCAAGGGATTTAAGTCAAAACCTATGACATACAATCACAATGTATTTTAAAATGAATACATCCCAGATACAGTACTTTGATTAACACCTCGGATCATTCTCGGGTTTATGGTGGGCTTCGTGTCTTTAGTTTTCTATGACTGTAGCTTGTCGTTTGATCGTTTTTCGTTTTTTTCTCAAGACATTGTTAGATTATTTTCGACTAATGAGTTTGACTGTCCCTTTTGGTATCTTTCGCCTCTCTCCTTTCATACTAGTTAGAAAAGAAATGTAGCATCGTGGATTTTCTAAATGTTTTTATATTTATTTATGTAAATTGTATATATAATGCAACAAAGTTATGAATGGTTTATCATTGTTTCTTTCTTTTATTTGTTCAGTCAGTACTTTGTTTATATTACATGTAGCGAGTATTCGTCATCAGTATTCGTAAGTATATCTTAGTTTTAATTAATAAATGAAACTAAACTAATATGATTCAGATATAGATTCCATATTTTAGTATAGTCTCACCACATACAATTACATATATTTACACAATAAAATATAGGTACATAAAACAGATAACACGACACATTACATTAACATTGTATGTACTTATCTTAAAAGATTTGTGAGAGACTGTACACATACAATATGACAGTGGAAGTAAACAATGTCAAATAAAGTAGATGTAATAAAATTTGACAAAAAAATTAAGATGAAAAGTATGATTGTTTTGTATATTACTGAAGAAATCACATACAATGTAAGTCCGTTTTTCATAACTCATCATTCCATTTCATTAAGGAAAAATTGTGACTAAAATTTTCCTTGTTCAATGACTGCTGTAAAATTTCAAAAAAATCGGCTAAAAGGAAATTGTTACTTGTTACAACTGAACATAATCATGCTGCATACAAAACATAATTATTCCCTACAGTAGAAACCAAGAAAAAGTTTGACAAAATGTTCCTTGTACAATGAGTGCTGTAAAATTTCAAACTATCGGTTAACAGGAATTGACATGGCAGCGGATGTAAAAATTGCTTACTCGCTACGACTCAACATTATAAAGCTGCAGACCAATTATTAAATCATTACCTCCTACATTGTACAGTAGCCAATAATAGTTTGACGAAAATTTGCCTAGTACAATAAGTGTTGTAAAATTGCATACCTTTCATCGGCAAACAGGAAGTGACTAGACGATGGATGCTAAAAATGCTTACTTGCTAAACATTATTAACTCTGTTTTATGTAGTAATCCACCCATACAAGTCATTATAACACATTAAGATATAACACTGTTACATTGTTATGTTTGTAGTGTATATAGATATAGACAGGAGTCCATGCATAAAACATTATTTTCATTTCCAAGCACTGGTCCGATGCCGCTACTGGTCGACAGTGCTTTGCCAAAATCATGATTTAAAGAATACATTTTATAAATTCTGCGGTAATACATTTTGGAATCACTCCTATAAGGTGTCGTCTGACTGTTTTGATGTAAATAGACAGCAGGTAAATCTCAAAATCTTCAACGTTTCTGCCCCAGTCAGATTTTTTCAATTTATAGCGGTTTTTAAAATAACAGACAAAACTTGCATCTTACCCCTATGTTCTATTTTTAGCCATGTCAGCCATCTTGGTTGACGGGCGTGGTCATTTTCTAAAGAAGATACCCCTATAATGATTGTGGCCAAGTTTGATTAAATTTGTCACAGTTGTTTCAGAGGGGATGATTTTTGTAAAAGTTGACGGACGACGGACACCAAGTGATGAGAAAAGCTCACTCGGCCTTTCGGTCAGGTGAGCTAAAGAAGTAGTTCAAAATCCTTCAGGAAAATAAAACTTATGTGGTTTTTATCTTATCGAAATTTTTTTTTACCAATAAATGAATAACTCAAATTATTTATTATGTCATATTTTATTATATAAAATGACTGAATAATAGCCACAATAAATCTTACGGGGCGATGGATCATAAAACTATGATACAGTACACTACAAAATATAATATATAACAAGTCTAAAAGGGTACAACATCACCAAAAAATAATTAAATCATGAACAAATTTTAGATATTTTTGATAACTTATATCTTTCATCAGTAAGATGTAAAATGAATCTTATTTTGACATGTGGTAGTCAAACTGAAATAAAAATCTTGAATGCTATACAAATTATCAATAATCATAACGCTGGTAATTTTTTTTCAATATTGATGGGAGGAGGAATACATTTCTTTAAACTGTAAGAGTCCAAAACGGAAGCCTGAGTTACTAGAAACAAGTGATGGTAGGGAAAATGAGTGACACATTCTAGGTTTTTTTCATTTATGCCCTCTGGGGAAACTGTCCTAAGCTTTCTTATCCAAAACCTTTCCCGAGCAAGTCTGTTGGCCCTTGACCAATCCTTGTTGTGGTATATGATAGTGATTGTAAGGTTTTTGAGATGAGCTTGGGCGTGCCCAGGTGATCTCAAATGACGACTTACGGGGAGGTCGGGCTTGCAGGTGTGGTCACTTCGATGACCATTCATGCGTTTGTTGAATGGCTGTTCTCTCTCGCCAACATAATGCATGCCCCATCGACACTGAAGAAGGTATACAACATTCTGTGTTTTGCAAGTTACATTGCAAAATATAGTTTACATAGACCCGGTGGAGTGGCAAGTAAATGTTTGAGTATTCAGTATTTGTTGGCAAGTCAGACATCGTCTGTTACCACTCGACTTGCACAATTCTGCAGTTGAACAGCTTTTATTAGAGGAGACATCAGCTCTCACAAATGAGT